CACACATATAGGGTCAGAAGTTTGCCTTATTGTAAAATTGAATTCCCTGCATACGATTTCACAGAGATCACTTTCCTTTTATTCGGTCAAGTGCAAACATAGCTTCTTAAATTAAAGCACTTTTGAAAATTCGTGTAAAATAAATGTGGAGATATAATCATATCATGACTCTAAGACTTCGTGAAAGAGCAAGTATCTCTCGGACTTTCAAGGAGGCACGATAGTAGGTGCTTGTCTATTAGCATCCCTGCTTATGTTATTCTTACACTACAGGCTTCTGAAGGTGGTGGAATGGGTTTGATGAACGCTCTCATAGTAGTTGTTGAGTGTTTGGAGTGGGTTTGAAAGACAAATAATACTTATAGTATACCTAAACTTTTATTGGCGACCAACTTACACTCCACAATTCAGCATTTAACCTTTGATAAATCCTACTGACGTTTTTTGGAATGAGCTGGAGCATTCTCTTTGTCATTATATATGTCTGTTGAAATCTGTAAATCAATGCAGACCACGCTCCTCTACGTAGGACATCTGCTGGCATCTTATAGAGTCTACGCCAAGCCCAGCTATTTATTATTACAGTGAAAGATGGTCCTAAAAGAGATGAAGTTGGTGTTATAATAAAGTAGTCAGTTATATACAAATTATTATGAAGAACTTGATAGCAATACCGATTTTTTTAAGAATTAATTAAATCACTCATTATGTAATAATCATTCAAATTATTGATAACGGAGTGTGGATTAAGTATTAATATGTAATGATTTTGTCTATTTGTTGTGTAGCACAAAGCTGTATAATGGACTATCTATTCTCTGTCTGCCCCCTGGTGGCTCAGTGGTAAATCTGAGAACTTGTAACGCTAGAGATTGGGTTTCTATATCCTCGGTGGGCGTAGCACAGATAACCCATTGTGTAGCTTTGTGCTAAACAGAAAACAACCAACTACGTTCTGTCTACTGCAGAGAATCAAACCCAAAAATTTAGCGTAAGATTACCGCTGACCCATCGGGGGACAGTATGTAATGAAAGTATTTTAATTAAATCTGCAGATGGCGTTATATTCAAGGAACATATTATCATTGTAACATGGAATAGAAATTATGGCCATGTAACATTCAATGGTGTAACGATCAATTAGTATTCTATGAAGCAATAATGAAGTACTATTTATGTGACGTTCAATAATTATCCAGTGAATTAATTGTCATATAAGACAGACCTTAGAGGAACAGAAATTCAAGAGTGTTTTGCTTATTGAACTTGATTAAAACATATTAAAAATTACTGAGTTGAAAAAAGAAATAAGAAAAAGAGGCGACCGTGTGATCCTTGAGATTGCTACCGTTGAGGCATTTGCTGATTATTGAGTTAATAGGCTGAGCTCTTAACATTCAGAAACAAGATATTATAGCATGTTCTTTCTATACGAAAGCTACAGACAGTTAAACTCGGTACGTACTTCATAAAAACTTAATGCTGTGTTATTACTATTAAATTACAGAACGTAGAAAGTACTTACAAGGTATTAGTATTCAGATGGTAAAAATAATGAGACATTCAAATATCTTGTAATGTAAAAGATGTTTGACTAATCTTCTAAATAAGAGCATGGTCCGTGTAACTGCTGTTTAAAGAGTACTAAGGGAGCTATGATCTCTAGTAAAATAGTTCAGATATTCCCAGTAGTGCCGTTTAATCAGATGCCGCGCAGAAAGATTAGGATGTAATAGGAAAACGCGCCAGATTTATGTTCGAGCGCTGGAATATTTTTAACAATGCATGCACTACTTTACAAAGAACTCGTATATCTTCGAGCAGTCTATTTTTCTTCTCTTTTATATTCTTTACGCCACACTTACTAAATTATTGTACCTCTGTGCTTCTTCCGTTAATATTTACTCCCTCTGGTGAAATTATATGATACTCTAGATAAATAATGGTGGCCTCTCTTTATAGTTCAAAAAACATTAAAACTGTTCATACATTTTGCTTGAATCCCTGGCTATGTAACAAATCACGTAGACTCAGTAAAAAAGTACATATTTTTTAAATTAATCTATGAAAGTTGTAACTCTGTAAACTGCTCATTAAAATTATTTACTAAGTTTTCTCTTTTACGTATTTATTTTGTACGTACTATAACTTCGTAGTAGAAAATTCATATAAATATTATAAACTGCAAATTAACACAGATAAATCATCATTTTCCTTTCATGGTCATAAGTCTGTTAATTTTTCACAAAATGTTTACCACAACTTCAGGCTAAACGTTTTCCTTTTTTCTATAGACAAAATATAATAAGAACGGACCTCTGTGTAAGCGTAAAATATTTTTTGTCTTTCATATTTGTATGTTAAGTTATTTTCTTAAAAACGAACATAACTAGATTTTTCTGTTAGTATATGTTGAAATGGTGACATTCTGATCCTCTCTTAAATTCTATGCTAATGTTTCGGGAAAAGATTAATGCAGTTTCTTATATTCATACCACTAATATGTCACCTATTGTGACAGCGGTAATTTTACGGGCTTAGAGCGCTAAGATCTGAGGTTCGATTCACTGCAGTAGACAGAATGAAGATGGCTCATTGTGTAACTTTGCACTAAAACAACAGCTTATTATTAAATTACTATTTTTTTTCTCATTTGTTTTCGCGAGAATTAAATCGCTATGTATTTGTTTGTTTGCTTGTAATTAAGCTCAAAGCTACACAATGAGCTATCTTTGCTTTTGTAAGCAAGTGACTGTTATTCAAAAAACTGGAACAAGCTGAAAATTTAAAGTGAAGCGTAAGCGCCGTATTTTGTTGATTTAACATCGGTTTCAATTTAGCGATGACAAAACTCCCCCGAATCCTTAAGTTGCTACTGTTTATCTACTCAGCCAATAAGCAGAAAGTTTTCAGTTACGATGGCGACACTACGTTTTCTAGTAGTTGTTTGTTAGTGATAATGCTTTTATATTCTTCTGCACAGCAAGTATACTCGTTATTGGTAAAAAAAAGATAAGTTATACTTTTAGGAATGACTTTATTGAAACGGAACCACTTACCTATTTAAAAAGAAGAAGATTAAATACAAACTAAACTCACTCTATCCAAATGAAGAAATGACATATTTTCTAACATATTGCATAACTTAATAATATGATAACACTATTACAATTTGGCAGTACGTTTACGGACTAATAACGCTAAAGTCCGGGGTTCGATTCACTATGGTGAACAGAATGCAGATAGCTCACTGTGTAGCTTTGCAAAATAACACAACAAATAAACAGTCGGTTTCTTTAAGACTTTGAGTGTGGTCAGTTTATTTACCATTTCACAGACCATAAAATAACTATTATGTTTTAAAAATTCTTTGAGGTGGATAATTTCTTTGTGTGTAGCAAAAACAACTTTTACAAACTTGTAGCACGATTCCAATCAATTAATGCAGTGAGAATAAATCTATCAAAGTGAGCATGTAGCTGTTAAAAATTCAGTTTATGATATACATCAGTTTTAAAACTACTCTGTTGAATCTGTATTGAAGTGCCCAAGAAAGGTATACAAGATTCATATTCATTTGTACGTGAATATACAGTGATTTGTATTCCGGTGTTTACTGTATAAGTTAGGATTTGATGTTTTCCTTTAACATATAGTGAATGTGTTACCTACTTATTGTCTAAAACAAAGTGGTTTAAAACCACTAGGACATTTTGTCAGTCTTTTTTTCCCCTCGCGATACTTTAAGAACAAAGTAAACTTTATCAAATTGATGGGGTCAGTGTAGCCCATAGATAGTTTGTTTATTTGCTCAATTTTGCGCAAAGCTACTCGAGGGCTATCTGCGCTAGCCGTTCGTAATTTAGAGGCGATAAACGCCTCTCAATGCCAAATCTTTGGCTATTCTTTACCGATGACTAGTGTGATTGTCCGTCACTTTATAACGCTCTCACGGCTGAAAGGGGAGCATGTTTGGTGACGGGATTCGAATCCGCACTCGCGGATTACGAGCCGACTGCCCTAGCCACCAGCCCATAACTATCATTACCTTCTGATAAAAGCTAGCCTCTCTATAGTAATGTAAACCTGATGACAGAAACACAACTTTGAAACAAAATATAAAATATTTACTTGGAAACGTAATATGAATTAATGAAAAGCAAATAATTCCATTATTATTATTCATAATTACCTAACTTGCTGATAACCAGATGGTTTTCATTCTTCCCAGGATGTGGGAGCAAATCATCAACAAAAAATGTATTAGGAATATACATTAATTGGTGTTGAAAATTAAATATTTGGCTGTTAAGACTGCATTGGTACAATCCGTGTTTACAGTTGAAAATACACCATGCCATTGCATAGAAAAATACGAGAGTTCAAAACATTTTTAATCATCACGAATTTACCATCAACGCAATTTGATCGTCAACTATTTAGAACTGGACAATCTTAATGTTAATTTAAGCTTAGTACAACACTTGCCATATACATTCTCATTATGAAGCCGTATTTATGAAATTATAAAAACACGAGTTCATATAAAAATTTTAAACTTTATAATAATTTGAATAGTAGATTCATAAATTCAACTAATACAATATAGTAATGCAACTAAAACAAACTTACGCTGATTTCACTAGTTCCCAGACCTTGCTAAATGCAAACAGTAATTGCTAATATTCATGAATATATGAGGCATGTTTCCTATCACTTAGTTGAGTTAACCAAGTAAATTTTTGAAGTTGAATTACCAAGTTGTTCATAAAAAATCTTAATCCATAATGTTTTATGATGATTTGATAGTATTTAATGCGAAACAAAATGTAAATATTGGATTAGAAGTGTAAAACGTAGCTAAAAATGTCGCTTTTCATTGATAGTTACTTACAAAAAAGGTAGTGTGGGCGTGATTCATCAACCGTAGCACACATTGAACTTTAACAGACGTCATGATATCTGTTCTAGTGAGTATACAATCATTGGGCTTCTACATACGACAACTGCCGTCGAGCTTCTGTTCCACATGGAGCTAGTAAGAAAATAGCTTTCCTGGTAAGTATTCTTATAGCTTCTGACTTACTACATTTGTGGTTTAGCTTATGAACTTACTGTTAGATTTATGTTTATAATATAAATGAAATCTCAGAAAATCTATTCTGTTGTACAGAAGAACATGTACTGTAGTCTAAAAACATTAAGAAATGTACTGTAGTCTAACGACATTAAGAACATGTACTGTAGTCTAAAAACATTAAGAAATGTACTGTAGTCTAAAAACATTAAGAAATGTACTGTAGTCTAACGACATTAAGAACATGTACTGTAGTCTAACAATATTAAGAACATGTACTGTAGTCTAACAACATTAAGAACATGCAATGTAGTCTAACGACATTAAGACATTAAGAACATGTACTGTAGTCTAACAACATTAAGAAAATGCACTGTAGTCTAAAAACATTAAGAACATGTACTGTAGTCTAACAATATTAAGAACATGTACTGTAGTCTAACAACATTAAGAACATGCAATGTAGTCTAACAACATTAAGAACATGTACTGTAGTCTAACAACATTAAGAAAATGCACTGTAGTCTAAAAACATTAAGAAATGTACTGTAGTATTCTTAATGTTGTTAGACTACAGTACATGTTCTTAATGTTGTTGGACTACATTGTATGTTCTTAATGTTGTTAGTACTATAATACGCCACTTAGATGAATTACTGCAGGTTGATGTTGTTCCTTGTTATTAAGCACAATGTTGCACAAAGGGGTGTCTGTGCTCTACCCACCACGGGTATCGAAACCCGGTTTCTAACGGTATAAGTCCGATGGCTGTACCACTACGTAAGGTTGAACGAAATGTGTTTGAAATGCTATTACTGTTATTGCTGGAATGCTAACACCTACTTATACTCTGACATTACTGGGGAACTTTCACGTTATGACACAATATAATTTCCTAAAATAAAATAATGTTAAATTTAATGTATAATATTTTAAAAATAATAAGCATTATGTTACGCAAGATTTCATTCTCGAAGTAGGTAATATATATATATATATATATATCCATTTTCATCGCAATGTACTATGTCACTTGTCACTTACGGAGCAAAACCTGTTTCTTTGTCACTTACGTAGCAAAACCTGTTTCTTTTTTTTTACTAAAAAAGATCGTTTTTACTTTTTATCTCCGTAAAAAAATCCATAAAAGCAAACTCTTGAGTGGAAATTATCTCTGTCGTTTTCAACGAGTTTTTGTTTTTACTGTGACAACTTATGATTTTTTTATTTTTATCTTAGATATAGTCTTAGAGAAGAGATTATTTCTAGTAGAATAAGTGTCATTAGTTGACGAAAGTATAATAACTATCGGAATATAAGGACGGAAATAATTGAACTTTCTAGTAATGAGAAATGTTTGTACTGTTCATAAACACATTTTAACAAACAGGTGTATAAACATATCACAGAAATTAACCCTATAACATATATGTGTAAATATACTGTATAAACATATCGTAGAAATTAACCCTATAACATATATGTGTAAATATACTGTATAAACATATCACAGAAATTAACCCTATAACATATATGTGTAAATATACTGTATAAACATATCACAGAAATTAACCCTATAACATATATGTGTAAATATACTGTATAAACACATCGCAGAAGTTAATCCTATAACATGTATGTGTAAATATATTATATAAGCACATCACAGAAGTTAATCCTATAACATACATGTGTAAATATATTATATTAGCACATCACAGAAGTTAATCCTATAACATGTATGTGTAAATATATTATATAAGCGCATCACAGAAGTTAATCCTATAACATGTATGTGTAAATATATTATATAAGCACATCACAGAAGTTAATCCTATAACATGTATGTGTAAATATATTATATAAGCACATCACAGAAGTTAATCCTATAACACGTATGTGTAAATATTTTATATAAGCACATCACAGAAGTTAATCCTATAACACGTATGTGTAAATATTGTACATTGCACATTACGTAGATTTGCAGTTCCTTCTTTTGCAAGTAATAAAGCTTCTTATGAATATGGGAAAAAGAACAAAGGAATATATTTCAATTCTTGAATTGATATTATTTTATTATAAACTATAGCGCGTGGTATGTGAAATTAATTAGCTTAATTTATCAAGAACTTTATAAGATCTCAGTTAATAGTAAAGTTTTCATAACAACTTACAAGACAGAATAAATGCTCAGTTTAAGTTTTTTCCCTGTTTTTTATTTTGTAAGAATACATTTACAACTATGTTCAAGAATCGATCATATTGGATGGTAAGTTAAATAGATATAATAATAGCGTGCAACACGTAATTACACACCAGGAGAAATTGGTTCAGAGAAAAGAATTTATTTCGAAAAGCGCTTATTCTTTTCTCAGAAAAGATTGATAAGCTATGATTTTTTTTTCTAAATCATTCCATCAATTTTAAATCATGTTTTCAAGGAACAAAGCATTGAATATTCATTTGAAATGATTCAAAAATAAAATATGAACTACTGAATGCTACGCATCATGACATAAAACACAACGAGTCATTAAATATCGGATCTTGAACAAGATAAACATTCTTGTTCATCCTACACTGAGTTTTCCGTTTTTCATACACAAAAGCAACTGTGGAATAAAAAATATCGCTAAATTTATTTAAATATGCACATGTTTTGAGAAATCAGTTAAACAGTAAGTGGTCTAATTTTTCAAAGTTGGTTCATCCACGTTTATATATATATTATAACTGATATTATATTATTATATGTTATTATATTAACTGACTTTAGCTTACGCTGGATGTAAATATAAAAACTAGGTCTACATCGTTAAATACATTGCTTTACGTTGGCGATGACATATACATCCTTTGACGAATCCTTTAAGAGTTCTGGTACAGACTTGTCTTCAAAAAATCCAGAACAAATTCGACTTTCAGCTATCACCAGGACTTACAGCTTTGCCACAAAAACGAAAGAACAACAATAAAAAATGTAAAATAGATAGATCCTATTACATAACAACAGGTTTATTTTGTTGTACAAATATTTGACGTACAGCCTACGTAACGTTTCGAAACCGGAAAACAACTATCATTAATGACTTTCGTCAAGATATTTGACGTACAGCCTACGTAACGTTTCGAAACAGGAAAACAACTATCATTAATGACTTTCGTCAAGGTATTTGACGTACAGCTTACGTAACGTTTCGAAACCGGAAAAACAACTATCAATAGTTGTTTTCCGGTTTCGAAACGTTACGTAGACTGTGCGTCAAATATCTTGACGAAAGTCATTAACATTAATGACTTTCGTCATTAGAGAACTCTACTTTCACTTTGATAAATGAAAGTCTACTGGAATTTACTAATTAAAAACATCAAAACATAGCATCTTTGATCCCAAAAAAGAAATTAATTAATATTCAGCTGGAATGCGTCTTCTTGCTGCATCATGATAATAGGGGCATAATATTATTGGCAAGTTTAGTTAAAAGTGTTTGGGTATAACACACGTAAGCAGCTTAATATAATTCTGCCTCGATAGCATTGCTTTTGCCAATGTACTAATAGTACCAAACAACAAACTTATGTCTTATTAAAGATATTAATGCATCTTAGCTAAAATTGTAACAAGTTAGATTAAAAACACGGTTCAAATAGAGCTTAATTGAAATTCTACCAATGTGTTAGTCATCAGATAGTAGTATCAAGTTTAATATGTACGTAGTTTAGCACAAAGATACAACATGGGCTATCTGTGCTGTGCCCACCACGGGTAGCTTGTGAGTTTGTTACAATTAAGATGTATTACTTCCAAAACACTTGTCATTCCAAATGTCTGCTTTCAGTTTTAACTTTAGAATGTAATTATGAATTATTAGTAACAACAGGTATTGATGTAACTTTTTTATTGCTATAGCTTCTTAAGCAAAACAGTTTCATCGAGAAAATCATATCCTATTGAACAGGTTTGAAATTTTTGATGAATTACGATTAATATTTAATATCTGTACACATAGAGACAGAAAGAAGAGCAGACAGGCAGTCAGATAGATAGTGATTTAATTGGAAATGTTTGGCAACACTGCTTTTCTTCGTTGTTATCTAGTGCAGTTTTCACCTAACATGTGGTCCAGAAAACCGTTAGGTTGACTTGTTCTAGGTGGCTTCGTTGTTCTCTAGTTATAATGCCAGCTCCATCAATGGGAGATATTTTTCTAACAATGCACAGTGTGCAACAATGTAGACGACGACAGAAATGTCCTTCACTGGTAGATCAGGTGATATATGTCAAATGAGAATGACCAATCGCATGGGTAGCGCTAGTGGCTGCTAAGTAAGAAATGTTAGACTTAAAGACTACTAAACAGAATCTCAAGAGGGAAAAATCTACTAATCATAATCTACTATAAGAAGACTTTCTAGTGTCCTAACGCACTTGCTCACTCATTTTTGTCTATTAAATAAATAAAGATTATTTTCATAATGTATTGCATATCGTGATCAGTCTGTTTATTTCTTAGCTTGAGCTCAGTTAGTAGTTATATTCAAATTTACTTGGTAAGCTATCCTGCCGATTCTCCCGTTATAGAATGGACCTATCTAACACTCTCTATGAGAATATCGAAGTAGGACTGAGAAGCAATATCATGACAATATTAATCTGGAATAAACAAGTATATTTGATTGTACTTGTTATACAGTTTTCAGAAAGAACTTAAAGAGGACGTTTTTGAGCTCAGTATATACGAGTTCTTTGTTGTTGTTTTTAATTTACCAAGACGTACTTAGGAAACGTAAATACCTAATTAACGAGTTTTATTTTCTTTTTAAATAGATATGTATTAAAATGTGTGTGCATCTCGATATATATTACTCTTCAGTAATTTGTCCTTTCAAATCTCAATGGACCGGTAATTTGCCGTGCGTAGCTATATATGTGATCAAACTACAGTATCGAGAATTGATAAACGTGTTAGACTTTCAAACTAAGGATAATGCTGTTAAAGTTATGGAAAATAGTGAAGTTATTGACTGATGACCAGGAGACATCTGGCGACTGTGGAACAATTGAAAAGATTAATTAAGTTGAAACGAATTTTCCCAGCTCATCTAGTTGTGGTGCTTCTCCTTTCGTCCAATTTCTAGCCACATCCTCCCTGATTGCCTTTGGATTTCCCGTTGTGTCCGTGTTTACTTTCCTTGCGTTGTTGGGCTGTCAGCTAGAAATAGAATGTCCAAGGGCGATTTGTTCCCAGCCTTCGGATAACTACAATGAGGTCATTACAGCATATTAGTAGGCCGCTGGCACGAAGGCCTTAAATATAGGTGGAAAGCATATAACTACGTGGTTTCGCAAACTATCAACATTGATCTTATTTGCTTTCTGTCACATTTAGAATTCACCCGAAAGATTCGTGCAATACATGCTTTGCACATTTGTTACACTGATTTCGGGGTATTTAGCAGTCTTAATATTTGTACAAGACTCGACAAGATTAGCCACATTTCTTTCTATTCAACTTTATACATGTCGGTTTAAACTACCAACCATTTCATTTAACGACGTTGTTCAATGTTTTACTCAACCCATTTGAGTGTGAAAAGACAGATTTATTCTAAATGTTTTGAATGGATACAGACCTCATTTGATATCATATTTTAACTAAAGGATTACATGATCAGAAAAAGTAGGTCAAAGATTAACATCATAGAAACGTTCATCGTTCGTCGATGATTTTGAAACTGGGAAGGAATAGAAAGACGTCAGGTTATGAAAGATAAAGATTATGAGTGATATGTACTAAGCTCCAGTTGATCTTATAATAATTAACCTGTAACTTCTCTTGAACGTAATGGCTCGCCCCTACATTAGAACTAATTAATTGGTACGTTATTAGTTGCTATTAAGTTAATCACTTATTTTAGGTATTGAGTGAAGCAGTGTGATCTGAGAGAAATAAGCCACAATAATTGAGGATATAATAACAATATTTTTCTATGCGCCAAATGTTTGTCTTATAAAGATTCCTTATGAATAATGATTGAACTTTCTTGAAAGATTGTTTCTGATGAAAATAAATTACAATATGTGTTTAATAAAGAATAAAGGTATTGTAAAAAATCAATAATCTCAATCAAATGTTAATATATTTTCTTTTCATTCCTGATGCACTTTTATAGAAAGTATATATACTTATTGGTTTCTTTTACAGCTCATATATCCCCATCGCGGAGAATCGACCCCCGGTGTTGTAAGTCCATAAACATACCGCTGTCCCATCAGGGGACTATATAGACGAAACAGATTTTTATACAATTTATTTCTATAATTAGTTAATGAAACCTTAATGCTTCTAGATTACTTTCTTTTATTTTTTCCAGCACAGGTGAATATTGATCCTAGCGTTAACAAAGAGTTATGTTAGACGAATAAGCAGATTAAATGCTTTTTCTATTTTAAGTTTAAAACTAATATATAATTTCCATCTTTCGATAGAACCTCCGAAACGATAAAAAAAATGTATTATGAAGCTATCAAATTAGCTTTAATGTTAAGGATGTCTTCATTAGTTGGGACTGACACGCCGTCTGCGCCCCACCAAATTAGGCTTTACGGGAACGTAGAACACGCTTCTTTGACCGGCATCACTAACTGACCGTCCAATTCAGTTCCCTGGCTAATAAACCGTCCACTTTCGTAAAGAATGAGTCAGCTTTCGTGAAAAAAAAATTGATGATTCACCTTAACTGATGATACAACGATGTCGTCTCAGTCACAACAGAATTGAATTTTTCTCCCAGCAAAAACTAGGTTAGCAGCACGTTAACGTGTGTCTCTGATATCCACAGGGACAGGGTGTATAGAACGGCTAGGCTTTTGTAAAGAGTCGAAAGTTGGCAAATGGTTAGGTTTTCACGCTCGGAAATAGAGTTCTTGTTGTTGTATATGCTGCAAAACCCCCATTGGCCCTGATGACCAGTGGGCGGTAATGGGTTTGAAGATTAGCTTCCGTCAGGAGTACAGCCACTGAAAATTGATCAATTCATGCAAAAAATCTCAAGACTGGGAATACAGTGTGTTAGGAGGTAAGATGAAAAAGAAAAACGTTTCTTTTAACAATCGATTCTTGTTTATCGCACGGAAGCACCGCTCTGATCGACCAAATAATCTACTTCATCCACAAAAAAATAAAATCTTGCTTATTTCTGCTGTAAAAAGATTATATTAATGTTTCCTGTGGGAATCTTTGATGTCAACGAGTTCTAACATCAGCAGAAGATGACTACTTCTATTTCAACAAGAAGTTTATGATTAAGTAAGCCGGAGAAGCAATTTTACAAGAACAACAAAAAAAGTCGCTGTAAATGCTCTTACATAATATTTTGTACCACATTTCTGAGGAACGTTGAGTTTACACGAATTTTAAGATTCGTTCTTTTCACAAAGCTATTCAGAAATTTTTTATATGCCCTTTTTTTTGTTTTTCTTACTTAACGCACTCAAAATACATTAAATGATAATTTCCTAAAAAGTTTGTTCGTTTGTAATTAAGCACAAAACTACACAATGGGCTATCTGTGCTCTGCCCACCACAGGTATCGAAACCCGGATTCTAGCATTGTAAGTCCGCAGACATACCGCTGTGCCACTGGGGGCCTAAACACATTAAAAAACTCAATGTTTCTATATCTTGAACTCCACTATATCTAATATATTCTCATAAACAGAAAAGAAACAAAATATATTAAAGAATAACTTAAGCCTAAAACTGCGCACGTACATCAGTGAAAGTCTGTAATATTTATATCACTCTTTAATAATTTTATTCTCTAAAAAAAGGAAATCAGAAATACTATAAAACATGAACTTATTAACTTTAAAAATGTTACGAATTTATAAACATTTCAACTGAACTCTCTTAGAATGTCTTCGAAATAAGATTTTAAACTATTCTATTTTAGGTTTTGTGCATCATTTTGTACAGCTTAGAAACGCCACAGAATAATAATTTACTATTTTCTAAACATCTTCAGACCACTTTGCATTCGTTGCCACAATTCTACTAAATGTCTCTTTTAGGAAAGGATGTTGATTGTGGTTAGATGAAAAAAATGAAACTTCAATAAGCTTCATACAAAAATTAGATTTGATATTTACGAATGGTACCTGAAAGTTTGTTTTTCTCCAGGAAAGTAAAAACTAAGAAAATTTCGCGATAAATGAAGCACATCTCTTCCATCTTAGCTTCTCTAATCTTTAGTACATCTGGAACTGTCGACAGTTATGCTTACAGCCATCGAAGAAAGGCTCAACGTGGCTGAATTAAATTACGCGACACCTTAGGCGTGAGTTTGATTGAATTAATTTCACTTTTGCTCGGATTTTCTTCTCATAGCATACACAAATATATCCAACAACTTTTAGGTACGAATTGAATGTGGCATGTTATATAGTGTGTTTCCTACTTTAAGTTTTTCATTTTCCAACAAACTCTTCCTCTGACAGACTGAAGCTTCTTGCATTAATTACTTATCCTACTTAATGAGATTACATCAGCACATCTTCCAAAAACAGGAACAAAAGTGGGTAATTTTCATGTGATTTAATATAATATTTTTCTTTTGTGTAAGATGTACTTCTAATAATACCATTATTATTCAAGATACCTCTTCAATCTACCTATCTATCTGTCCTAAAAAAAACACACAAATTTCTTGACCTAGGCTGAGTTTTGGATTTTATCATTACAGAAAGCAGTTTCATCACCTATTTGTAAACTGATTTTGTTTACATGAGATTTAGGTTATCCGGGTGTAACGTCTTTATTGTATTTTCGAAGTTAAAACTTGATTTTATGAAGTAAAAATCATGTGTGAAAACTAACCTATATAACTTTTATGAAAATTGTATTGCTTATATCATAACATATTGATGCTGTTAGTGGAAATAGTGTTAATATAACTCGCACATTGGCATTTTCGATGTATTTAACCTAAATTTGAACACGTTAAAATCTAGTGACTTATACCGAATACTGAATTTATTCAAACATTCTAAACATTAGTCATTTTTATTTGAAAATGTTGATGAACAGTTGCTGGACGTTCTTATAAAAGTAAACGCAAATTGCATATTAAATGCAACAATATGATGTTGAAAAAATATTGTTAATTTATTAATAAAAAGCATATGATTCTTTGTTCGTGATGCCAGTTAGCTAGTGGTGTTAGGCTTCCACCTTTATTATATTAGACGAACGTTTATATTCAATGTAATTTCTTGATTTGAGACTCATATTTTTTCTGTAGCCATATTGCAAAAAGAGCGGCCCAGAAGGAGTACCTAACAAACTGAATATGTAAGCTATCTAGTATTTCAATAAAATAAAAACACGAAGGCTGCTACTAAAGTAAAACCAGAGGGTATGACGAAACCAGCTGTTAAAAACTAATATTTCAAAATCTGCGCATTTTCAAGTTCGTTTGAAATAAATTTCCTGTCTCGACATCTAATTCTCTTCAGATGTTAATTTGTTCTGAACGGGGAACGTTGTGAAAAACAAAAATATTAATAATATAACTCCCGGTTCCTCTCAGTATATAACAAAAAGAATTAATGTTTAAGAAAGAACAGACCACACTTGTTTTAAGTTTTTAACTCTCTACTATGGATATTCTGTAACAAAACATTTGTCAAACCTTAATCCAAACACCTTTTTTTTTTGTTTTTTGCTTCTCAAAAGATTAAAGTTATTAGCATAAGCATTGAAACGTTCTCATGTAACAAAGATAATTCATGCTAAAAACTACAGAAGAACTTGCTGAAAAGAAATAATTAGAGTTGTAAATAAATTCTAATAACGTGTGAGTTAAAGCTAAGAAGAATATAATAACAATATGTCAATCACACTATATTTGCTATATTCAGTGCCGACGAGACCTTTCGTCCGATACCCAGGATCATCAGACCAGCTGAGATTGGACAGACACAATATAAAATAGTAGGAATGTTTCTAGATTAGCAATCTCTAATGAAAAAAGAATGCCATTTAGCACTTAATGTCTTACTTTACCACTGTTTCAAGGGATGTTAATAGTGTCGTAACTGAAATAGCTACTAATTTCACACTTTCCTAAGTATTACAAAATATATCTTGAATTTAGGTTTATTCAAATAATTTTCCTAAATTTCCATTTTCTGCATATAGTTAGTTAATCACATCCGTGTTTACCGGATGTCACAAAGTCGTAAACATGTGATAAACCTTCTAAAAAAGGTAAAAATTGCATTATGCAATTTAAGTCTCAAGCTATCACGTACGAGTTTCTGTACGAACCTTCTACGAATATAGCTCTTTTTAAACAGGTGGTACAGTAACCTGTACAAACTAGGATGGTTTAGGATTGTATTTAGAATATTGGTTGAAGTATGTAACCTAATGGATTATGTGATACCATATTAAGGTTTCGGTTATTATGAAAAATGGGATATTTCATGACCCTGTCTCCTGTTTTCAGTTTTTGTATTCCGCCTCTCTCTTGTTTTTAGCGTCTTTTTAGATCTTCTTCCTGCTCTTGATTCCAGCAGCCAGCCAATAGTTATATGGATCAGAAGTCTGGAGAGTTTGGTAACATAAGCACTGTGATGTGATTAAAGAATTTTATGTTTCTCAATTCACTTGTATTTGCCTCTTTTCCTTTGTTGCATTTTGTGGATACTTTAGACTTATCTGTTGCGCAGCACAATATAACGTGAAGACAGCTATCATATCGATAATCGTTTCAAAACAACATAAAAACTGTCCAAAACATGTTGTACAGCCTTCTATTAAAAACACCGAAGTAACTACAGTTACGCTATAGTAACTATTATTGACTTAACTTCAATCGAAAAGTTTTGGATTTTAAAACGATATGATTTCATTGGCTGTACTGAATTAAGTGTTTAAATTTTGACTGAATGTGTCAGATAAGAACTGTTTGAAATGTATATGCATGCTTATATATATCAAGCAGGCAGTAGCACTGCCTATGTAGGGATGGATCGGATTGTTAATCGAAGTGGTATTTTAAATATCTCATCAATAGGTCATTAGAACTTTACAGTACTATACAGAGTTTCCTTTTATAATAATAATATCTATGTAATGACTGAGTCACAAGTTCTGGGAATATCTGTAAATATTATAACAAAAAATTTGAATTTCTTGTTCCTCTTTCTTCTGCTTCTTTTTATTACATGATAATTCAAAAACCAAAACAATGATGTTAACCAATTTCACTGAGTGACATAGCTTCAAACGGAGTATCCGTTTTTATAAGTATTATTAATAATTAGTAATTAAAAAATCATAATTCTAATGTAAACGATGTTATCATTACCCTTTTTTTTTCGGGAATTTGGTGTTCCTTTAAAAAGCCAATAATAGTTAAACAATAAATATTACAGTTGGAATCTCATTTTATTTAGAACTTGGTTATAAATACAACTTTCCTCTTTGTGATGAAACACTGCATTAAAAACAACAACAAGAAAACAAGTAGAGAAAAAACTTTTCAAAAAAGGAAGTAAATGTATGGCTGACTAATATCAATCCTTCAAAAACAATGGAAACAAGATAGTAGGGCTAACATTTGCTTCATCCCTACGTAAAAGCACAGGCAAGAATTAACACATAGCAATATATATATATATATATAGCTATTCAATCACAGTTGAGTTTAATTTATCATATTTTTGTCTGTTAACATTCTACTACATTGCGTGACTGTGCTACTATGAAGAGATGAAACAAATGCCATCCCTATCATCTTGTTTGCATTGTTTTCGAAGGACTGGTATAAGCCATCCCTACATTTTTTTCTTTTCTTTAATTGTATATATACATATATATATATTTGTGCGTGTGTGTGTCGTACCAGACTTCAAACAGATTTGGAATTAGCAAGGATTACAAATTAGCTTCAAATCGTTCATCACTGCCTGGGTTTTTAATTAAAGAGTTAGATACTTGGTATATAATAATATTTAAATGTATTCATAACAAAAGTTATATTTCTAAAGCTGAATAAAATCTACTCTTTAGGATGAAATACAGAATAAAATCGTTTATACTACATATGTGTTTTTCTACGATAGTATTATCTTGTTTCCCATTTATATATGTGTTTTCCTACAATAGTATTGGCCTGTTTTACTTTACTCTTGCGTTTTTCCAACAATAGTATGATCCTGTATTAGTTTACTTTTGTGCTTTCCTATAACAGTATTGTCTTATTTTACATTTAGCTGGTGTTTTCTTATAATAGTATTAGCCAGCTATATATTTACACTTGTGTTTTTCCTAAAATAATATTATTCTGTTTTATACTTACACTTGTGTTTTTCCTACATTAGTATTATCCTGCTTTACTTTTACATTGGTGTTTTTTTTTGGAATAGTATATCCTGTTTTGCATTTACACTTGTGTGTTTTTTGTACAATAGTATTATCCTGTTTTACATTTACATTTGCGTTTCTCCTATATTAGTATTATCCTGTTTTACTTTACACTTGTATGTTTTTCTACAATAGTATTATCCTGTTTTACTTTACATTTATGTTTTCCTACAATAGTATTATAGTATTTTACATTTATACTTGTGTTTTCCTGCAATAGTATTATCGCATTTTAAATTTATACTTGTGTTTTTCTACAACAGTATTAACCCCTTTTTACATTTACACTTGTGTTTTTCTACAACAGTATTATCCTCTTTTATCTTTTTACTTGTGTTTTTCTACAACAGTATTATCCTGTTTTACCTTTATACTTGTGTTTTTCTACAAAAGTATTATCCTGTTTTACTTTACACTTGTGTTTTTTCTTACGATAGTATTATCGTATTTTACATTATACTTGTGTTTATCCTGCTTTACTTTACACTTGTGTTTTTTCTTACAACAGTATTATCTGGTTTTACTTTACAATTGTGTTTTTTCTTACAATAGTATTATCCTGTTTTACTTTACACTTGTGTTTTTTCTTACAATAGTATTATCCTGCTTTACTTTACACTTGTATGTTTTCTACAATAGCATTATCTTGTTTTACATTTAGATTTACAAGAAGAAGTATACGACTTGACTCAATTCCCAATGAGATAGTTTCCTCTAAATAGTATATAAACATGCATGATAATACTTGTCATCTTACAATAATTTTGATTGGGCTCAGAAGCAGATTCTGTTTATAAGCAAAAATATACTATGTTTCAAATACTAAAATAATGAACTGAGAATTAATTGTTTAGTAAAATAGAAATAAATTAGCGGATATTCGAAGTATTTGGTTCCACTTTTCCTTGCAGTCTTTAAATAAATAATGTTTTAATAGTTCCATGTTCCAAAAAAACAACAAAAGGTCACTTTAATTCGGGTAAACCGTTTCTCGCCGTATTTCTAATTATTTGCCCGAATTTATTCGCACGTTATCAAGTATTACAATCAGTTTTCACTACATGATACTAAAAATACTGTTTGTATTGATCTTCATCGGGTTTATTCTGAATTGTGTATCATAAGCACTGGAGAAAATCAATCCTATTCATTAGAGTAGTTTCGTTATGATGTTATCACATATCACATATAAATCCAGATATGTAACATTTATTTATCGAGCACATTTTGTGCAGAAATATTATAACAGATCATAAAAGAATATTTGTTTCATTAATATATAGCTATAGGCTATCAAAAAGCGAAATAAAAGACTTGACTTGGGGGGGGGGCTCATTTTTCGAATACGTCTGACATGGAAGGTGTTAAAAACGTTATTTTTCCTCATTATCAAAAGTAAATACTTTTTGAATAACCATATCGTGACATCATTTAGTACAAGGATATCGGTCAACACCAGAAACTTTTAATGATAATGACATTCACTTTATTGGACACGACACATTTCTTGATATTGTTTTATTGAATTACTAAGGGCTATTGTTTTAAGATCCATATTAGAGGTATTTGTTTGTTTGTTTTCACAATTTTGGTTAAAAATACACCAGGGCTATTTGCGCGCACCTGTCCATAGTTTAGAGGAAAGATAAATAGTCAGTAGCATAGCCCACCCTGCCAAATCTTGGGCTACATTTTTCTGACCAAATAGTGGGTTTGGTCGTCATTCGTATAGTCTATTCACGGCCCAAAAACGCAGAGGGCACGAACCATGAATTTTCGGATTCACGGTTCGGTCATGCTAACCACTAGGTCACGCCCGGTCCATTTGAGGTATTACATCATTGATACAGTGTTCAGAAAACCTTTACTTGTCCTATTTCATTATTGAAACAAAAAGTTACCCAAATAATCCACCTGGTGGTTCAGAGGTAAATCTGGGGGTTTATAACGCTAAAAATTGATATTTGGTAACAGCGACAGGTACAGCACGGATAGACCACTGTATAGCTTTGCACTTAGAAACAAACAAACAATTAGCCAAATAAACTGTTAGCTGAAGATTAACAGGAGGTTTTGCTAACAAAACAGATCTTATATTAGCCAATAGCACTTGTTTTGTTCTCGTCTCATCTTGTGCTTTTTGTGCATTCAATTTTCAGCCGGAATATCCCTAATTAAGACTAGTTTCATTGCAATCTTTCATATTCGTATTAAAATAGTCCATTTATTTTCATTAAACTTGTAGTTTCTAATAATCTGCCTATCTGCTCTTCCAGGGCTGGAATACAATAACTGGCAGGAAGAAAATATATTCTGAAATCTCTGGGAAAAGAAACGTTCTACTAAAAAGTAATCTAGCTTTAGCACTGTCACATTGACATTTTAAGACAATTTTTATTTTTGTGGAAGTCGGATGATTAAAGTTGTCGCTATCAAATTATTGTAAAGAACTCCCGTGTTAGATTAAAATCTCCTTTCACGTTTTCATATTTTGTTCTTTTGACATCTTCATAAAAAGCTGAAATATAAGTGGTATTAAAAGAGTAAGGTTTTTGTATTACCTTTCGATAATAGAAAATAGATTTGAGTTTGTTTTTGAATTTCGCGCAAAGCCACACGAGGATTATCTGCGCTAGCCGTCCCTAATTTTGCAATGTAAGACTAGAGGGAAGGCAGCTAGTCATCACCACCCACCGCCAACTCTTGGGCTACTCTTTTACCAACGAATAGTGGGATTGACCGTCACATTATATCGCCCCCACGGCTGAAAGGGCGAGCATGATTGCGAGTCGAGTGCCCTATCCACCTGGCCATGCTGATAGATTTGAGATAGAATAGACTTAGTAAGATGAAAAATAACATAGTTATGTTGTAGGAACATTTAATGTACTTTTACAAGTTTTTATGTCTTCTAAATACGTGTTTTATTTTATCTATAAGATAAATAAAATATCAAAAGATATTATTTCATCTGTTTTATAAATGCTTAATGTTCGTGTTTTAGATTAGAATTTAGTGCATTTTACAGATGCTGCTGTATGTACTTATATGTGTCTAGTATGCTTAACAAGTGCTACTGTATGCATTTACAGGAGTATTTGGTGTGTTTACAGTAGTACGTAGTTACACGAATACTTTCTGACTCTCACTACTTTACTGTATGTATTTATAATATATTTTACACATATTAATATATAGTGATGTACTTAGTCTTACAGAAATACTTTATAGGTG